TATTAACAAGATTTACAGTATGAGCTTGTTATAATCTTAAGGTTATTCTTGGCAAAAAAATGGTTTGGGGGTCGATGTATATTTCTGGAGTGACGATTATAAACGACACCTCAGAAACACACTTGGGCAGCCAGTGAGACCTTGAATGGCTGTGATCTGAGTGGTTATTGGACAGCCCCATTTCCCAAGGTACAGGACCAATCAGAGTGGCTCTGTACCTTGTGATACCTGTTTAATCACAGCCATCACAAGTGTAACCAGTAGTTGTTACAGACATTTAGCCCATTTGCCTCCATTGTGAATAGACTGAAGATTTGTACACACAGCAGACAGAAAGATCGTCAGAATGAAGGTATAGGTAGGGGCTCTTAAAAGGCCACAGACCAATGATGATGGAATCAGTTTTGTAAAGGGAGGGGAGTTTAAAGTTCCACCGACCACCAGTGACTGTGAGATAGTTTGTTTTGTTTTTGTTGGGGGGGGGGGGAGGGGGGAGCACTGACCATCAATGGTTGTAAGAATTTTTCTAAAGGTTGGGGGAAGAGTTAAAGTGGCACTAACCAGCAGTGGGATTGTGAGATCTTTTCTAAAGGTAAAGAAATAGAAATATAAGCAAACCCAAATGTTTTTAGTCTTTTTTCCTTTGAATACATTTTTTTTATAAACCCAGTGGTCAATAAATAGCACAAAAGAATGCTATATTTGTATAAAAAAATTATGAAAAAATGTATTTGGGTTGTGTTGCATGACTACCAATGCACAGAGGAGACAGAGGGTGTGTTTATGAAAGCTAACCTGCTGCACTTCCATTCCCTATTCTTGGCTGCCCCTCGTGGTGAGTGATTATATTTGGTGGTAGATTTAGTGACATATGGGACATTTTCCACCGTGAATCAACATATTTCATGGTGCAGTTTTCCCAAGATTATTAAATCCTGATATGGGTCCTGGAATTTAGAGGCTTGGAGAGGAAAGAGCCTCTAACCTGATTATGGGTATCTTTGACCTGAAACAGTTATCCCACCTGTGAGAGAGGTCTGAAAACAGCAGAAAGCAGCCAGTAGGTGTCCATGAGGGGTTACGTGGAACAGGACACAGTTGTGAGAGTGCTGTGGACTGCTGAGCTGCTGAGATACTGCTGGGCTGTTGTGACCTTTTCTAAACCCTTAGAGCCCTGGGAAGAGCAATCCAAGTGCAGACCAAGCTTCAGAGACCAAGTAAGTGTGAACAAGCCCTAGGGTTGCAGGATAATTGTGCGCAAGAGTACTAACAATTATGTCACAATATAAAATATCGTGATGGTTATTAATATTATCGCAACTGCAAATCTATTTTTTTTTTTACTTACTAATATACTGTTTCTTTTAGCACTTGCTTGATGTGGTGGTAGAAGGGGTGGGAGTTGCATGAAATTTACACTGAGGTTCTGTAATATAGGATGCTGAATAAGACTGGTGAGCTACTGAGCACAGAGCGGTTAGCAGGAAAATCAACGTTAAACAGTAATTCCCTGCACTGACTACCCCCCCCCCCCCCCCCACACACACACACACACACATACACAGTCTGCAGCTCTGGTTCCTAGTAATGTACTGACTATGCCGAGAACTATCCTGCTACCTGTCCTTGATTTAGACATACTTTATGTTAAGATCAATGATAGTAGGGAAGTCGCCAGGGGGGCCCATCAAAATTATGCTATAGGGCCACATAATCTGTAGTTATGCCCCCGGCTAAGAGGAGTATGAGACAGTTGAAGGGCTCATGTACATAGGGTGTTTGAAAAACTCTTCTGGAAACTGACTGCTAAAAAACAGGTTACAAAAGTCAGTTTAGCCACGTTTGCTTACCGCGTTTATGCGCATTTAGCTGCGTTTATGTACGTTTCAATTTAGAAGCATTTTAAAAGATAAGACCCTCCCAAATGCCCAGAATGCACTGAAAAATAGAACTTAATTAACTATTTCAGACATTTTGTGAGAAATAGAGAGAGAGCAGAGAGAGCAGTATGTTTTGAGATTACCTGTCTTTTCTGGTTGTATTCACTATGGATCCCATCATGAGCATAATCCCTGGTTCACACTGGATGCGACTTGGAGCGGTCAAATCGGTGCGGTTCTGACTTGGTCGGAGCCGCACCGAATTCAGAAGTAGAACATGCATTACTTTTGGTGCGATTTGCATAGACATCTTACACAGGGCGCAATTCACTAAGCAGGATCTTACCGCATCCGACTAAGCGGTAGGATACCGCATAGTATTTTTTTTTTTAAACGTTTGAATGCACTAAAAAACGCTGCTAAAATACCACATCAGTCATTTTATCAAGTCATGCAGTATTTTAGTAGTGAAAAGCATGCGTTGATGTTTCAGCTGTCAGCGGGATTCCCCACTGACAGCTGAATGAAAGAAAGAATTGCCGGCAATTAAAAAATAATTTAAAAACGGCGTGGGGTCCCCCCTCCATCCATACCAAGCCCTTCAGGTCTGGTATAGATTTTGAGGGGAAGCCCCACGCCCCCAAATCCTTACCAGAACCTTATCTGAGCATGCAGCCCGGCAGGTCAGAAGTGCCCCCTCCTGAACCATACCAGGCCACATGCCATCAACATGGGGGGGGGGCCCCGCCCCCCAAAACACCTTGTCCCCATGTTGATATGATAGGGACAAGGGCCTCTTGTGAGGGTCTGCGGGTGGGGGCTTATCGGGATCTGGAAGCCCCTTTTAGCAAGGGGGCCCCCAGATCCCGGGCCTCCCATGTGAATGAGTATGGGGTACATGGTAGTGCTGCCTATTCACAAAAAAAAATCTGTAGTGTGAAAAAAGACAGGCTACATTCTTTGACAAGTCCTTTATTAAAAGAAGGAAAATAAAAGAATGTCCCCCGAAGTAGATTCAACATCAATCATGATGCCCGCCACTGCCCGAAAAAAGAAAAGGCTCCACTCCCGACCCTGGCTCCTGGCCTCTCCGCTGGCTTGACAGTTCTTAAATATGTAAGGGGCGGGGTCATCATGTATGTGACCCTTCCCCGTGTGAAATCATTGACCCAGCATGCCCTGGTCAATGATGTCACACGGGGCTGGGGTCACAGGGTGATGTCACTCAACTGCTCCTAAATGTCAGTTTAGCAGCTGCAGTGTACATGAGCCCTAAAAGCAACATTTCTTTTTTCAAAATAATAATGTGATTTGATAATGCTGATTAATGAAGAGGGTCAACTTTAATAATAGGTCCACTTGAAATTATTATTATTATTATTATTATTATTGAAAAATCAGTAAGGCTAGGCATTTTGCAGAAACGCACTACAGTCCATTTAACAATATGGGACACATTCACATCTGTGCGTTTCCAGCTGGTGCGCTTTTTGGAAAGGGTCAGGGACTTTGTGCCCACAGCAGGTTGCATTTTTGGGTCCATAGACTTCAAAGGAAACGCAGTGGAAACACATCAAAAACATGGTGCTTGTGTGAATTTTAGATGCATTTACGTCGCTTTATTGCTGGTTTCTCCTGCATGACAACAGACACGCAAAACGCACCAAAAACGCAAAACGCACCAAAAAAATGCATTAAAAATGCATGTCAAAAACTGCAAAATGCATCAGGAAAATGTAATCAACCGCAACCTGCATAGGTGTTAACCTAGCCTTACTGTATTTTTAAATGCAAGTCATGTAAGTATCTGGATGTGTCCTGGTATCAGCCTCTTGCAGGCTCTCTAAAGCACAGCTCAAAGCTGGATAGGAAAAAACAGAACAAGGAGCATGCTGATAGAGGGAGAAAGTAGAATGCCAGAGACATAAGCTCATCAGTCTGCTACTTCCTTCTCACTGTCCAATCAAGGGCTGGGGGCAGGTCCATGACAACCTGGGCTCAAAGGACGTGGATTGAATGACGCTGGCCAGGGACTAAGGACATCTAGCGGTAGAAAAGAAGAACTGTAGTGGACAGCTCGGGATAGAAGGTGAGCATTACAGCAAACATTTTTTAAAATCATTTTTTAATTGTATCTTTTAATGGGTGATTCATTTTTTACTGGAGTTCTGCTTTAATAAAACTGCATTACTCTTTCATTTAAAGTCATATTATAGCTGTCCATGTTCACCATCAACTTGTTCCAAACACTTCCTAAAAATGTTTCTGGGCTTATCACCGGCTCCAGAATAATGTTCCTGCATCCATCTGATCTACCTTCTTCCACAGTTAAAGCCATGGAATCTTTTTGAAGATTAGTGCATACCTTCCCTCCGATCGTTGCGTAAGCACTTCACTTTGGGTAACTTGCAGAGAAGTCGGCAGTCATCAGCTGTTGAGACAGAAATAGACAGAAATAGGTGAGTTAGTGGAAGAATATGGGGTTATCTTCAGTACACTGCAAAAATATTTACCCACAGATCACTGCAAAGATTTCATGGATAATAAAATGTTGTGCATTCAGTTGCAATTCAATCATATAGAAAAAAAAACATCTGTGTGCATTTTTGTACTGATTATCTTTTTTTGCCATAACATACATTTTCAGTCTTCATGCACATGGGGTGTATTGATAACGCTGGTAACATTAGCTGTGTAAAGTCATGTTAAAAACTTGTTTTTCAGCATTTTTGCATTAGCGTTTAGCAGGCGTTTTTCCACGTTTATGTTTTTTAGCAGGTTTTTTTACCAAAAAAAAATTTGTTTCTGTCAAAAAAAGTTCAAAAACACAATTTTGAGTTGTTTGGCTGCTTTTTTACAGCTAAGTCCTGGGGTTTTTCCCAGCCAAAAAATGTTTATTACAGTCTATGTGTGTATGGACACATAGGAGAACATGCTGGGGGGTTTACTAGCTGTAGAAAAAAAACATCAAAAGCCAAAAACAACAGCTGTAAAAACATCCAGTGTGCATGAGGACTAAAGAGTATCTATGGTCAAAATGTAAAATCATATATTCAATTCCACACTGTATTTTTTCTACTCTACTCCTATTAATCTAAATGATCTTGAAGTTTGTAAACTTACTTTGTGAAGCAGGGGCGGACTGACCATTTGGAAACTAGGGCAGTGCCCGAGGGCCCGGGGTCAGTAGCGGGCCCCATGAGATGGCCCTGGTACCTTTTTCATAGGCTTCTCTGAGTTTGGGCAAGGACACAGGGGCCCCATGATCCCATATTGCCCGGGGGCCCCATGAGTTGTCAGTCCGCCCCTGTTGTGAAGATACGCACACATTTACTTGAATTCTGTGACATGTAGTCACTATACCCTGTGAGTAGGCACTGCTGTGTCACACATTTCACAGAGCCTGCCTTCTGAAGTACAGAGGAGCTGAGAGGAGTTTCAGGAGGCGGACTCAGTACAGGATCACTGCTTGCAGGCAGCAAGGTACCATGGGATATGTAGTCCTTGAAAGTGAACAGCAAAGGAGAAGCTGCAAAGCATGCAGGAAGTCCAGGAAGTTGTGGAAAGTGATGGTCAGCAGACAGGCAGAACTCACAACATGAAAGGAGGTTTTTCATGTAAGCTTACATTGGATTATCAAAAATAACTGTTGTTTCTATTAATTTTGCAATGCTGATGTTATAAAATGAAAGTCTATTCTATGAACATAGAATCCAGGAAAAAAAGTATGACTTTTGAAAAAAAAAATCCAACTCACCTAGGTGGATGCAGCATCGGTCCGATGCTGCATCTGTCCCCCCGCTGCTTCTAAGACTGAGAACTGAGTGATAAAAGACCACTGATCACTCAGTTCTCAGCCTTCAGTAAGCGGTCGGTGACTGTCAGACACCGGCTTTCTGCTCTGCCCCTCCAGTGCTTACTGGAGCACCAGCCTGTAGAGGTGGCTGGAGCGGCTGAAAATAGGTCACAGGAGTGCAAAACAAACTGATCGACAGGAGAAGTAGGGACAAAATAGCTTTGGCCATACTTCTCCTTTACCCACTTTCCCACCGCCCCATAGCAGATGTACTGCTACAGGGTGTCTGCGCTGTGCAAAATCACCACCCTACCCGCGCTGATACTGGCTGCTGAGGATGTCAGTCACCAAGTCCCAGCCAAGAGAAGGGAGACCTCTGTATAAACAACACAGGTCTCTTTTCTGTCAGCATGGACAGGACAGAAACATCCTCAGGACTTTGTTTTCTTATTCAGATATTGCCATAGTGCCCCAGTCCATTACACTCTTTTGGTTAGCAATGTGATGTTCTGGGAACCCCTTTTACATACCTGTTTGTAAAGCACAAGAAGAATCCTAAACAACTGGAGGTTCCTTGTTGTCTCTTATATACAGAAAGCAAAGGTGCCAGTGCTGCTAAGGCAATTCTCACAGCTACCAACAGGATTGTGACCCATCCAAGACTCTGGGGCTGATTTACTAAATACAAATAGGCTGTGCACTCCAAGTGCACTGAAAGTGCAGTTGCTCTAGATCTGAGGGGAACATGCAAGGAAAATAAAAAAACAGCATTTTTGCTTGCACATGATTGGATGAAAGAAATCAGTAGAGTTTTGTCGCATTTCAGAGCTTCCCCTCGGATCGAAAGCAACTGCACTTGCAGTGCACAGTATATTTAACTTTAGTAAATCAACCCCACTGTGTTACAGTTCCTTTTCTCTAGAAAGTATGACAGCCTGAGCAGAAAAGCATGTCCCCTGCCAGCATGCCACAAAGTAGGGACCCTTACTGTCTGTGTGGAAGAAGTGGGCTCTCTGCAGAAGACGGACACACCTCTACAGATGTGTCAGAGATCTACAATTATTATTATTACTTCCCCTGGCAGTACTAGGGTCGTTGGTTTGAATGCCAACCACGGCACCACCTGCCTAGAGTTTGCATGTTCTCTCTGTGCCTGCCTGGGTTTCCTACGGGTACTCTGTTTTTTTTTAGTGCTGCATGAAAAAAAAGTGCAAAATTGGAAAATAAACGTCTTTATTATATTTTTTAATAACTTTGCAAAGCTTTTTAACAAGAATCAAAATTTTAATGTTTTTTGTAAACTGGTCAAATTAAAGAATAAAACTTACATTTTATCTGGTACAGTAACACTAATAAAAACCTAAGCTTGATCAAAGTAGAAAAAAGTGTGTTTTTTGTGAAAGGGGCAAAGGTGCTACATCGTTTCATCTGGATAGAAACTAATTAGTTTGAGACAAAATCATCAGGAAAACCTTGTTTGTCTTAAAAAAAAAACAACTAATGTATTACTTTATTTTAAGGCTGCATGCACACTATTGTTTTTTTTAAAGCAGAGCTCCAGTCTCACTTGAAAAAAAATAAAAGTCAGCAGGTTCACTGGCCGTTCTCTCTTCCTGACGCTGACATCTTAAGTGTGGGCACCCGGCTGTGACAGCTTGTGGCTTCACAGCCGGGTGTTCACTGCGCATGCGCAAGTAGCCCTGTGCCTTGTAAATGGTCCTGTAGTCTTCTGGGACCTGTCACATGTCCCAGAAGACTACAGGGAGGAAGGGGGGGAGGACAATTACCGCTTCCGATTGCGTAGTTAGGGGGGTACCTGTCAATGTTAACAAGGGGGAATGTCACCAGCACACCGAGGATCACCAACATGGGTCCAAAAGTTTTAATGAACGATCACAGTCTCGCAGGATCCAGGGGCGAACTGACCATTTGGAAACTCGGGCACTGCCCGAGGGCCCGGGGTCAGTAGGGGGCCCCATGAGATGCTCCTGGTACCTTTTTCATAGGCTTTTTTGAGTTTGGGCAAGGACACAGGGGCCCCATGATCCCCTATTGCCAGGGGGCCCCATGAGTTGTCAGTCCGCCACTGGCAGGACCCCATCATCAGGCATGTGACCTGTCAAAATCAAGTCTCCCTCACTCAACTAATGTGACCCCAGTACTGATAGAGAAGGGCAGAGGAGGGGCAAACAAAGATGCTCTGCAGATACCCGTTTGTGCTCCTTATCATCCGATAACATCATTGGTTGTTAGGACACTGGTAACTGGAAGATTGTAATGCACACAATACCAACCTATGGCTTTGTCCAGGCAGACATGGGCCACCTGCTGGCTTGTATACCATTTTTGGGCAATTTGTAGGCATTAGGCCAAGGTACCCCTGAACAAACCTGAAGGCACCACAGGGTGGGGCACCCTGGTTGAAAACGTCTGAGCTGATGTACTGATTTAGCAGGTATGGATTTCTTCTTCAGTTCAATGCTAGCTTAAGATCATAAAAACATTATAGGGGAGATTTACTAAAATTGGCACACACAGAATCTGGTGCTGCTCTGCATAGTAACCAGTTAGCAGTACAAACCAGCTTCCAGGTTTTATTGTCAAAGCTTAATCGACAAGCTGAAGTTGGAAGCTGATTGGTTACTATGAACAGCTTTACCAGATTCCGAGTGTGCCTGTTTTAGTAAATCCCCCTTATTTGTCTTCTTGGCGATTGGGTGACAGCAATAAGTGTATCCATCTGTGGGCTGAGCAGAGTGCTTTCAGAACCATGGAGAGCTCTGTTGTACAGGGAAGCTTCATTGGCTCATACATGGGAAAATTCTACTACTTTGTACAAGGTCAACGCATAAGGTATTTTTCTTCTTCACTGATATGCATTGATGAGGCTGCACTGATAGGCATTGATAGGCTGCACTCATAGGGCTGCACTGATGAGGTGGCACTAATGGGCACTGATGAGAAGGCACTGATATGCATTGATAGGCTGCACTAATGGACACTGATAGGGCTGCACTGATGAGGTGGCACTAATGGGCACTGATGAGATGGCACTGATATGCTGTACTGGTGGGCACTGATGTGCTGCACTGATGGACATTAATTGGCACCAATAATTCTCCAAACGTAAAAAGAAAAAAAAAACTTTTGTAAAAAAAATACATGTATGTTTTTTTTAAGTTAAAGCTAAACTCCAGCCAAGCAGCTAACTACACTCACAAATCTTCTATTGGAACTGCTTTTCCAGCCAAATGATTTGTACTCCTGCATAGTCAGTTGTTCACCAGGAACCCCTAACAGACAGCATAGCCAGAACCTCAACGTCCACTGCAGCAGCATCACAGCTTGGTCAGGACCACATCAACCTGCTGATAACACAGCAGAAGCACACTGATGAATCATATCCCTGCTCACTTTGCTCTCTCCTCCTCTTGGCACTCTGCACTGTTATGGGAACTACAAAATACATGACGTCATCCCTTCTACTCCCAGTGGAGGACTATGCTATAGAGAAGCACCAATGCACTCTTTGTGAAAGCAGTAGTCTCTCTGCAGCGCTCCAACATAATCCCCACTGAGTCACAGCTAGAGCCCAGCAATTGGCAAAACTTAATAATCCTGCTGATTGGTGGGCTCCAGCTGTGACTTATTTGTGGGTGCAGAGAGACAGCTGCTTCCATGGTCCTTTTCAGTGTTATGCCATGCAGGGTACATGATTTTATTACTCTCCCCAGGGCTTTACAAAGAAAATAATAGTAAGATACTGGGAACCTCTTGATTCCCTGCACACTAAATTTATTTAAAGCATTCTTCCTGAAGCCTCATTTTGGCATTAAGGGCATTTTCTGCACTTAGTCTGATGACCAAATGGTTCAGCAGCTATTTAGTATGCTTCAGTGGGCAATTACTAAGCATTTAGTAAGCATCAGTCTCCCTGAGCTTGCTAAATGACTGCTGAAGCTGACTAAATGTTTGTCACGGCAAGCGCTTCCATTATTGTTTGTATTCAACACTCTCAAACTGGAACTAAAGGGTGCTTAGAGGGCTTCAAGAAAGCTGCTTGACTCTTTAGTAAGTGATGACTGAATGGTGATAAGCTGCTTGATTTATCCCAGTCTGGAAGTCATGGTAAGACTATATTTACAAAAGATCCCCAATCTGCTGGGCAAACCATTTACGTGGCCTAGCAAAGAGGCCTTTTGAATTCCTAGAGTTAGGAGAGGACTGGGAACCTTGGACTAGAAGGTCAAACACAGACAACTAGCCATTTCATGGTCAGATTTCTGTAGATGAAGGTACGTATACCATGCAAAGGATACCATGGTGCCACATTGATTGGTGGGCATATTTTATTTTATTTATTTATTTATCGAGTTTATATAGCGCCAAAGGGTTTGCTCAGCGCTGTACAATAGAGGGGGGGGCAATACATGAAACAGTACAGTAACATCAAACAGCACACAAGGGGTAAGAGGGCCCTACTCTTTCGAGCTTACAATCTAGGAGGGAGGGGGTAGAGGCACAGGAGGAAACGGCTGTGGGGGATGGAGTGGTAGGAGGATGGAAGGGCAGCAGCTGTTAGGTGAGGGTGGGGTAGGCTTCCCTGAAGAGGTGGGTTTTCAGGGAGCGCCTGAAGGTGAGGAGGGAAGGTGACAGTCTGATGGATTGGGGTAGTGAGTTCCAGAGGATGGGGGAGGACCTGGAG